CGAAGGAAGAGCAATGCAGCAATGCAAGCAACAAGTCAAGCTGAAAATGAAATCTAGGTGGAAAAATGCCAGGAAGTACAACTTCCTTTTGCTCCCAAACGTCTGTCTGTCTTTCTCTCTCAAATGGCTATACTCAGAGCACCTGACTTAAAACAGTTCCTTTCTTCCTCCCGAAAGCTCATTTTAGAAATTAGGAGGCGCCAAGGATCACAAAGAAAGCTTCACTGGTCAAGTGGGGATTTGAAGCCCGGCCTCCCCATTCCTCTCCTACTCTATGCTAGGTCGGGACTACAACTCCCATAATGTCAGTCAGCATGACCACGCTTGAACCATGAAAGTGATGCAAGTCCCAGCATACTGGAAGGGCGCAGGGTTATAGAAGGCTGGCCGGCCCACAAAACCCGTCTCAGAAGATTTTGAGCTTTATTTAGTTAGATATTATACTATTATTGTGTTTATTGTATTATGTTATGCCACCGGGTCCAAGATTTCTCCGCTTTGCCGGATCACGTGCTCTTAAGGGCTCCCCGGCCTCACTTCTCAACCGACCTTGCCCACCCACCCCCGGGCCTTTCTCTCAGAGTCTCTCCTTACTCCCACCCTCGGACCAAGCAGGATGCCGCCGCCGCCGCCACCCTCTTAGCCTCGCCGAGATAAAAGCTCACATGAAGACGCTCCGCTCCCCTCCCCGCGTCCCGCTCGCTGGCTCAGGCAGAAAAGGGCTGCACGCGGGGTTACCCGGAGACTTATCCACGGGCTACCGAATTCCGGCGCATTTGCGCATGCGCCGATCCTCACCCCGTGGCTCCATTCGGGACCGAATAAGTCGTCGCATGATTTGTACGATCCTCGGCGCATGCGGAGTTGGGCTTTTTCAATGCCGAATGGCGACCGACGGGGAGGGGTTTGGGGACGAAAGTGGGCTTGTTGACGTCTTCATTATTATCGAAGCGGTTTGCTTTTTTTTCGCGTTCAGTCTTTTTTCCCCGTAATGAATTTTATTTCTGTATTTGAACTGCTCAGTAGGTCGGGCTACCCGATCTGGGCTGCAAAACTACGGACGCCCACGAGATGGGAGCAAAGAGATGCAGAGAGTGCTAACGCTGGGCTGCCGTCTCGCCCGGATTTTTGCAGCCCGAAGCTGGGGGCCCTGATGCCCCCGTGACTCCTTCTTCTCTAAACATTGGCAAGGGAGAGCTTGCATATTGAAAGTTTGTCTTTTGCGCAGGCGCGTTTGGATCAGCTTCCGTCGCTGTGTGGAGCACAATCTGTATCATTAAAGTGAAGGGAAGCTGCCTTCGCTTTCCCCTGACTGGTTTGTTTGTTCGTTCATTCATTCATTCATTCATTCATTCATTCATTCATTCATTCATTCATTCATTCATTCAATTTGTAGGGCAACTCATCTCACTATAAGCAACTCTTGGTGGTGAACAATCATAAAACAAATTAAAACTAGTTACCACCACGTTACAAAAATTAAAATAC